TTATGAAATCTTGTTAGAGTTTTGGTGCATTGACTTTCAGGTTCAAGGGGTTGAATTTCTGCATTAGTTTGGTTAGTTATTTGTTTAAACCTTGGAGTTTATGGAAACTCGATATAATTTCTACATTTAAACCTGCTTTTGTATCTTTAAATGCTTTAGTTTTCTTAAAATTTGTTAGTTTGAGTTGTAGTAATGGTTCTCCCACCGGAGAATCAGCGTGGGTGCCAATCACGACGGTCTGGATCGTGACAACTATTCTATAACTTTAATTGGGGTTGTACATAATTTGGGTTAGTTCGAGTTTTTAATTTATCAAATTCAATTAATTATGTCAATAGTCTATATCGATAAATCATATCAAATTATTATATGTTAGATTTCTCAGATTCTCAAACTTATTTTGTGGTTCGATGTGAAGCGTTTTAAGACCAAATTTATTTTATTTTTGTGAAATATGATGTAAATGCTACATTATTTCGTACAATTATACCTAATTTAATTAATCGTAATTAATTACATACAGAACTATAAATCATTGTGATTCATTTTTAAACTCAGTTAAAAACATCTCATGACCTTGCTATAAATAGAGTGGACGGACACCTAATTATTTTTAAAATTAGGAAATTATATTGAAAAAGTACAACAAAACATTATTTTGAAAACCTAAGAAAGTAGGGGTAACGGTTCAAGTAATCTCCCTAAGAAGGTATGAAGCATTTCGAAAAATCCACAAATATAGTTAATTGGTGAATTTAAATATTTTGCGGCTAAAACAGATATATCTTATTTGAAAATAGTTTTGTTTACTTAGTACTCTAATTGTTTCACTAGTTCAACTTGTGAATCAACTTTATAGTTTTAATAACTATTTCTTATTTGAAAAAAAAAAATGGTTGATATTTAAAACTTTCCAATGTCTATTGAAGACTAAGATTTTTTAATTGAACTTATTAATACAAGAGAAATTTTCATAAAAGGCTATAGTATAGGTGTATATTATAATGTTCGTTGAGTTTTTTGCTTTTTATATAACAAAAAATCACTATTTTTTAAATCGAAATTTTATTGTAATTGTATATGTTTGCAACAAATTTTAAACATATGGAGAATAAATCAATCATAAATAAAATTTGAATAAACAAGATTAGTTTATTGATAAATCAATATGGGTACAAATCTGTTCCTCTCTTGATTTTTCTCTCTTAAGATTTATCCATGATTCGAGGGCCATTAGATGCGTATTTCCCGAACTTGGATGATTTGGACTTGATTTCTATAATTCGAGGACCGTTAGTGACGTATTTCTCGAACTATGATGGTTTGGACTTGATCTTCATAACTCGAGGGACGTTAGTAGCATATTTTTCGAATTAAGATGATTTGAATTTGATCTCTATATGAATATTCCATGAATTTGTGGTGGAATTTTTGAGATGCCTTTTCAAGGTAATATAGTACCCTTTATATAGGCATGAACTAGGGTTTAGGGTTGGGTATCCCAAGAATCCTAATTGGAATTGAACACACTTTGTAGAGTCCAACTCATGTTAAACACGTCTTGTAGAGTCCCACAAAATTTCAATGTTTACAAATGCCCCCTGCTACAAGGCATGTCAGAGTGTAGACTTGTTGAAACTCAAAGACGAGGCTTGAAGTACTTATTCTTCCACCTTTTCGGTTTTGTGAAATCAAATTTGTGAGAGAAGAGATGAAGGACAAATTTGGTCCTACTGGGCGTGCCAATTTGTTTGCAACAAATTGTAAACACATGGAAAATAAATCAACCACACAAATAAAATCTGAAGAAACAAGAATGTTTTATTGATAATAGTGTGGATGTTATTTTGTTCCTCTCTTGATTCTTCTCTCATAAGATTTATCCATGATTCGAGGGACGTTAGTGGCGTATTTCCCGGACTTGGATGATTTGGACTTGATTTCTATAAATCGAGGGTCGTTAGTGGAGTATTTCTCGAATTAGGATGATTTGGACTTGATCTTCTTAATTTGAGGGCCCCGTTAGTGGGGTGTTTCTCAAATTAGGATGATTTGGACTTGATCTTCATAATTTGAGAGCCGTTAGTGGCGTATTTCTCAAATTTAAAGACTATTTGGATTTGATATAAAGATATTCCATGAATTTGTGATGGAATTTTTTAAATGCCTTTTCAAGGGATTATAATACCCTTTATATAGGCATGAACTAGGGTTTAGGGTTGAGTAGCCCAAAAATCCGAATTGAAATTGAACACACTTTGTAGAGTCCAACTCAAGTTAAACATGTCTTGTAGAGTCACACAAAATTTCAATATCTACAGTATCACAAATGCAATTCCTTAACTAATCCAAATAATTAAGGCAACAATATGATCAATTACATCAATTTATGGAATTTACGTTATTGATTTGATGTAGAATTAATTCTAAACGAGATACTAGTAACAATCTGTCCCTAGATAAATTCAAAAACAAAATTTAGCAATTCTTACTTACCGTGTTGGCTTCATTTTCTTTTTGTTTATTGGTGGTTGTGGATTGAAGTATCAAAGTTAGTTTATTGTTGTGGTTTATTAACTATGTCTACAATTCAAGTTCCAATTCAACATTTCGGAATCTAAAACACAGAGAACAACAATTACATAGATTATGTAATTGATGGTATCATGATATCTTTTTGATATATGATGTATCATGACACTTTTTTGAAATATTATATCATGATACATTTCTAATAGATGATATATCATGATAAATTTCTGATACATTACATAATGATACATTGATACATTTTCGATATATGATGTATCATGATACCTTTTTGAAATATTATATCATGATACATTTCTAATAGATGAATAGATCATGATACATCTCCAATACATTACATAATGGTACATTGATACATTTTCAATACATGATGTATCATGATACCTTTTCGATATACGATATATCACGATACGGTGGATACATTAAAGTTATCACATATCTCTTTGATACTTTATGTATGGACGACTTCCCCTCATCAACAGTCTTGAAATTATGAGAAGAAATACGTGTTGATACACTTGCCGTTAATTAAAATCTTTATCTGATATAAATATATAACCACAAAAAACACAAATTTAGAAAAATATCTAATTTGAACTTGAACAAATTAAAAGTAAATTGTGCTAAATTGATGTCATCACGATGTGATAGAGAATTACAGATAGCATAGCTAAGAGAAAGATAGAGGAAAAAAATTAGTCAAATATAATTTCTTATTATGCGTGAAATAAGAGATTGGATATAACCATATAAATTTGCTAAAAATAATAAGTACCTTTGTTAGATAATAATTTTGAAGTAAAACTTTAAGAAATAAATATAAAATTTATGTTTACCTAATTGTATAGATTTTCCTTAATACAAACCTCATAATGCATAGATAAGTAGATTGTTTAACGACTTGAAAGAGCCAGATACATGCTTTAAATCATTTATCTTGTCTTGAGCTTTGACAATTTAAAGAAAAAACGAGAATTGCCGGTATATATATATGCTGAGAAATATATTTACAAAAAGTAACAAAAAGTTTTTAGTTTACAAAACATATAAAAAAAAATTTGCTCAAAATTGTGTGTATGAAATATGTATATCTCGATCAAGGGTTAGAATTTTCCTCACATTTTTCGTATATGAAATCGATATAAAATATGTATACACCTTCAAATTTATTCTTTGTTCTTTGTTATTGTTGAATTTTGCATATATATTTTGTACATATATGTTGGTTAATTATTATTTTTCGTTATAATTGAAATTCGTATGCATATAATATACATTTGTTTGCAATTTCCTAATAATTTTACATCGTATATATTAGTCCGTATTCACCTAAGATTTTTTTTATACATTTGTTTGACCTAATAATTAATATTCATTGTCATATTCAATCAACAAATTATATCATAATACAATATATATTCGATAAACATAATTGTATCTATATATATATATATATATCCCCTTAAGCTTTCAATTTGGAAATTTAATCATTTCAGAATGCTAATTAGCACCATGTATTTTTTCTTGTGGAGATGCTAAATTCCCATCTTTATTTTGCGAATATTTCTTTAGTTTTTCTTGAAAATCAAGAGAAAATTGTGTAGTAATTGCTTTAGGAGATTAAGTTGCATAGATTCGTAAATATTCGTTCCCTTTCAAGCCTGCCTATATTTGTATGGGTGGGATACATAGATGGCTATCAAATGTTAATTATTTTAGGCTTCATTTTGCTAAATAAATATTAGATTAAAAACATGTTAATTTTATCAAGGAATTATACCTAATTAAAATTATCATAATTAAAATATCCTATGACAATTTTCCATAAGTTGCCACTCTAATTAAAACTTCTTTGGAAAACCTCCAAACTCTATTCAAGTTCTTCATTTACGCTTTCTTTTCGAAAAGCATATTATAATAGAGTATATACCTGTCATTAATTCTAACATCAAAATTGATGTGAAATCAATTCTAGTCTTAAACTTTAAACAATTAAAAAAGAAATAATTTACAAAGCAATAATTATAACTTTTTTTTCCAATGCAAAGAGTTATTTATTGCACTAATTTATCATCAGTAGTGAGATTAAATCTGCCTCTTGAAGTTTTTTTAAGATCAATCCAATCGTTATCTAGAGTTTTTATGATGATTAGGAATAGGAAACAAATTTTTTAGGAATAGGGAACAAAAATCTTTCTTTCTTTTTTTAAAATTAAAAAAAAATGAAAACTTCTTCATAAAATTCTTCCATTGCTTCGAAACCTCAAACGCCTCTGAGTGAAATGACAAATCGACCCCTTTCTAGTAAATATAACACTCCAGCCCTACATTTATTTATTTTTCGCTAGGAAAGAGTAATATTTAACTCCTATTTAAGCTGAAACATTAATTAATTAAATAAATAATAAAAAATAGATTTTCATTACAGTTGAGTCGCACACTGAGTCAGCTCGCCGCTATGGTCGACCACCACCACCGAAGCAGCAAAACCGATCGTTTCCTCCTCGATTACAGCGCCGATGAACTACGAATCGCCGGTGAATTTCTATCTAACTGGTTCCCCTTTCTCTCCCTTGACTTCTGCAGCAGCTGTACGCATACGCTTTCCCGTCGTATCCGATCTCTCGGACGTGTACTCTCTCTATTTCTATCTTTTAATTAACTCTCTCTATTAATATTTATGGAATGTGCAATGTTCTTCGCTTGTTAACTGACTAACACAATGTGCATTCATTTCTCAGCTTTTGAGCTTTCCGAGAAATGAAATAATCGAAGAATTTTGATACCTTATCATGATTTTTCTGTTATTTTTTTGTACGGCTGTATCCAGCCAACTTGGGCTTGTTACCACCCACAAGCTCGAGCAGATAAGCTTACGCTGAATGCTGTAGTTGGGATTAGACACACTCCTATTCGAGAACTAGATTTATGTAGTGAAATTTAGAACTAGTTTGGATCGACATATTTCAGGTGATTTTAAACAACCCTGAGGGGTAGCTCAGCTGGTAAAGGCCTGGGACAAAGTCCTTCAGGTCGCCGGTTCGAGCCCCAGCAGGGCCACTGGAGACATTACAAACCGGCCGCGTCTCCAGGGCCCCGTGGAACTAACCGTGGTGGACCCGCCTTGAAACAGCGGGACCCGGTGGGTACAGCTAGTCGGGTTCGCAAAGCGACGCCCGGAAACCACGGTAAAAAAAAGAAAAAAAAAGGTGATTTTAAACCAAAATATGTTTGGGTAAAATAATAAAGTGTTTTAAGCACTCGTTTTTTAATCAATATAACAAAAATAAACAAAAAACAACCAGTTAGAATTCCTAACTTAAAACTTTTGCACCTAAGAGTGTGGCTTAATGGTCAATGAAGTGGGTCGAGCACCATAAGGTCTCACAGAGTTTCTAGCATACCTGATGCTGGTGGGAGGTGGTAGATATCTTGTGGAACTAGTCGAGCGTATGTGCAAGCTGGTTTGGACACTACGGTTATCAAAAAGAAAAATCTATGACTTTTGACTTATGAGCCTTGCTGCCCTAATAAGTATCTTTGTAATCCTAGAGTGTTTTAGTCAATGGGTTAAGTAGTTCAATATCTTTATAAATTCATCTTAGTGTTTTTATATACCAATGTGAGACATGATGATATAATATAATATACGTCTTTCTTATAAGGGACATTGATATATTATAATGTTTTCTTGCATGTGTATCCTTTTTTCAATTATGGAACATTAGTCTTTATATACTAACTAATGTTCACTATGATACTATATGGAAGAACGTGAACATCTAATCAAAGGACTTAACACAATATGTGGAGTAACCCAAGACTTTTTACAAACCATTTTGGATGTCCATGTGGGAAATCATATGACTCGGAATGTTGGTTCAACATAGTAATACATATAGTTTGTTGGTAAGTTGTGAAAGCTAGAAGTTTTGTAGGTGGATAATGATGTGGCGTAACAACTTGATTTTTATATTAACACTCTTATGTTGTGGATTATGATAAAGAAGAAACTATAGATTCAGTGAGTTCTCTGATCAGAGAGTTCATTTGTATGACTGCAGAAGCTGTTGGTGATGCAGAACAACTGAACCAACACGAGAATTTCACAGTTTTGACTCCAGAACTTCCTGATTCTATTGGTTGTAACGGAAGTCTTGACAATTGTTACAGCAATTCACATGGGAGTTGGCAAGATTGTGCTGTCTTAAATGGTACTGCAGATACAAACTCATTGGGTAGTTGGAAAGACGGTGCAGTTGTGCAAGAGCCTTTTGATGAGGCATTGGCATGCAGGAATAAATCAGATAGTTATGTAGGTGGTGCAGATCGGTCACTTGTGAGTTTGAAAGGTTATGCCGACTTAAACGATACTGCAGATACAAACTCATTGGGTAGTTGGAAAGACGGAGCAGATGTGCACGAGCCTTTTGATGAGGCATTGGCGCCCAGGAACAAATCAGATAGTTATGTAGGTGTTGCAGATCGCTCACTTGGGAGTTGGAAAGATTGTGCCGACTTAAATGATACTGTAGATACAAACTCATTGGGTAGTTGGAAAGACAGTGCAGATGTGCAAGAGCCTTTTGATGAGGCATTGGCGCCCAGGAACAAATCAGCTAATTATTTAGGTGGTGCAGATCACTCATCAAGACCTGTTAAAGAGGCATCGAGAAGTAAAACTTTCCGTTCATCGAGACCTGCAGCAATCTGGAGGATGAAAATGCCATTGGCAGATATGTCTCAGGAGGATGAGCTTGATGCTGAAGAGATTAGTGAGTCAAGTATCCGTAGTAGCCAGTTACGTAATGGAAATAGTGTGAACAAAGAGGAAACTTCTGTACAAGGGGCTAAGCCAAAAATGGAGTTGTCTAGGGAGCATAGAGAGCACATTCGGTTTTGTAATGTAAAGAGGAAAAAGGATTTCATTTGTTTGGAGAGGGTTAATGGGAAGATTGTGAATATACTTGATGGGTTGGAGCTACATACTGATGTCTTCAGCATGGCTGAGCAAAATAGGATAGTTAAATTTGTGGAGAAACTTGAGGAGATGGGGAAGAGTGGACAGTTAAAAGGTTAGTATTTCCTTATTAATTATGCAAATCATTTTTCTTTTTGTTCTTTCAGATAAATGTTACTGTCATATTCATGAGCTTTTTGATGAACCAGAGAAAACTTGCTTATGCTTCTTTCGATTTGAGATAGATATGAATATGACTAGTTGTTTTTCTTGTTAAACCTTAGAAAGTGTTCCTGATTGAAAAGATACGATACCAGATAAGGTAATCCAGAATGTCGTTGAGCATGAGATATGGGAAACAAAGTCAAATAAGATTTGAGGCATAAATTTTAGGAAGACTTCAACTGTGTGGTTACTTTATTAAGGATCATGAATTTACATAAATGATTTATGCTACGCCTCAAATTTCAATTCTGAATCTTAATTCACTTCTGGTGGTTTATCATTATGATTTAAGTAATTTTTTTCCCTCTTCAATTAGTTTGATGAGGTTAATATTTTTCCTTGATGGTTGTGGAAAGTAAATTTTCTTTCTACTGCCTCCTTATGTTTCCATACCCATATCTGTACTTCATTTATTAACCTCATGCACTAGCATGCTCTAACCTACCTTCTTTGATTCTTTTAGAGCGAACTTATACAGCGCCACAGAAATGGATGAGGGGCGAGGGACGTGTGACAATCCAATTTGGTTGTTGTTACAACTATGCAACAGTAAGTCTTTGACATTCTTGAAATTATCCTAATCTCTTCCTCCCCCACCCATAGCCCCAAGTGGGAGGAGAGAAAAGAGGATAGGCTCAGAATCATAGGCTATATGCTTTAGATTTTAGACCATCCCCAGAGAACTTTTTTCCTTCTAATTCTTACCTTATTAAACAAGGTTGTGACTGATATGAGTCGATCATTGAAAAAAAGGGAATGTAGAGAGATGACGATAATTGATTTTTTTTTACGGTAGGACAAGAACGTCAACTCCCCAGGGATTCTCAAGAGTGAAACTGTTGACCCATTGCCTGATCTTCTTAAGAACATGATTAGAAGGCTTGTAAGATGGCATGTATTGCCTCCAGATTGTGTTCCAGACAGCTGTATTGTCAATATTTATGATGTGGGAGATTGCATACCACCTCATATCGACAGTCATGATTTTGTTCGTCCATTTTGTACTGTTTCTTTCCTCAGCGAGTGCAATATTGTGTTTGGATCAAACTTGAAAACTGTAGGTCCGGGTGACTTTGCTGGTGCAATTGCAATTCCCTTGCCAATGGGGTAAGGCTTCTGAGTTTTACCTATGTCCTTGCAAGATTTCAAAGACTATTAATTGTGATAACTTTCCTCCAGGTCTGTACTCGTCTTGAATGGGAATGGAGCTGATGTGGCTAAATATTGTGTGCTAACTGTTCCTACTAAAAGGTATATACTGAAAGTGTGGAACTTCAATTTCGAGTTTTTGGTTAATCTTCTGTCAACTATTTACTTAAAGACGTCAACATCTCATTAACCTTTACAATGCACAGAATATCAATTACATTTAGGAGAATGAATGAATCTAGAAGACCAATTGGATGTGCTCCTGAGCAGGATCTACTAGGTCTTCAGCCTTTATCCCATGAAGCAGATAGATATGAGAAATCAAAAACCTATAAACCATGGCATTCAAAGCAGTTGACAAGGACCTGAAAACAGTTGGGAAGAATAAGGAAATAAGTAAAGATATCATTCAAAGCCATATTACATAAATCGAAATTGACAAGGACCTGTAAATAGGGGAAGTGTCAGGTTTTATATAGATGATTAGACGCATGTCGTGACTATGCAGGTTGGTCCATCATCTTCTGCAATTATGGAAACTGTTGGTATTGTTGTGTTCTCATTTTATCTTTTAAACCTGGAGATGGACGGATGGATCTGCTTTAGGCTCGATATGTGATCTTGAGTTTCCATGTTAATTTGCAGCTTGGAGAAATATTGGTGGAAATTGGTCTCATTCCTACTTTAAAATTGCAACTTGGGTGAGAAAAGTCAACCTTGATTACTTTTGATTGTGTTCTACTAGCAGAAATGAGAGTTATACGCGTATACAATAGTGGAAAAGGACCAAGTGAAATGCACAAATGATAATTTTTTGGGTTAACATTTCAGTTATCTGAAGTGTCTACTTTTGAGCCTAAGGTTCTTTCGGAAATAGCCTCTCGAGGTAGGGTGTGTGTGTCTCTGTGATGTTCGTGTGATAGAATTTTTTTTACATTATGGTGAAGAGACAAAAACACAAATTAGATAGTATGTTTAGTCCTCCAATCGGAGACATAAAATAATGAATATCCCTTTCCAAATGAAACATATTCAAGCAACATTCCCTACTTGTATCAGATTAATGAAGTACCGAATCTTCCTATAGATATTCTCAACATTTTTCAAATATAGTTGCATTTAAGGCAGCAATTCCAACAAAGCTTATATTTTTATTTATTTTTTTAACACTGTAATTTTGTTGAAAGCAAATTCCCAAAGATAGAAAAAACATGGAATTTGAGAGATGAATTATTTCACTTGACAATAAATTATTCTGAATGGTCCAAATGAAATATGAACCAAAACTTACAGAATCAATGTAATATCAATCACAACACCTCAGTTCTTGGTGTCTTGGCACAACAGCAAAAAAAAAAAAATTAAAAAAGTAAAAAAGTAAAGGTTCCTTTTTCTTTAGGATTGATTAGTCAATCCTTTCTGGTGAAGCTGCAAATTCCTCCTCAACTCCTACAAATTCATCGTCACTATTGTACACAAACTTGATGCGTTTGCCAGCAAATTTCTGTCCTCCTCCATTAACATTCATACTGCTAATTGCTTCGCATAGTTCATCAATTTCTTCTTCTCCGTCTACAGATGATTCTGACTTGTCACAAAAATCCAGCAGTAAAGATCTTGTAACACTCGTCTCACTTTCAACACTCTCTTGCTTCTTCTTCCCCTCATACACAATCTTATTCAATATCTACAACACACATAGAATGTTAGCAATTCTTTTTCCCTTTAAAAAAAAAAAAGGAATGTTTCTTTCCCCTTTTTAACCACAATTTTACATATGTTCCACGAGATTTAAAAGTTTTTGTTTACTTTCTTAATTAACACAATCACACAAACAAATTGAAAAAATTGATCTACCTGAGATATGACAAACGTGTCTTCCACTGGGGATGCGGTGACAGGTGGCAGCAATTCATTGGCAGAGAGATCCATAAGAGGAGTGTTTGCAGGAGTTGGGGCGACAAGACCTTCAACATGAAAGATATTAGTCCTTTTCCCCAATGAGATTTCAGCTTCTTCTTCAACCATTTGCAATAAATTCTTCACTTGACCTCTCAATAATGCTTCCCCTGAACCAGGAGTACAACATTTTCTTCCTTGAGTACTCCTGGACACTGCAGATGATGGGGTTTTCAAAATCCCAGTAGCTAGGCCAACAATTGGTGACCCATTTGTAATATCAAAAAGAGCTGATTTCTTCGTCATTTCCTTCTTCTCAGATTCTTTAATTACAATGAGTTTTGACGTTGTTGTTGATGATGGAGTCTCCATTGTTTCGATCAAGAAAAATGAAAGATTATTGCGGAGCGTTAACAGAGAAAGGTATCGTAATTGGGGGATTTTGCTGATATATTTATTTATAGGATAAAAGGGGCAAAAAATACGACCGTTAATAGCAATGCTACAAAACTAGCCGTTGGGACCGGAAGGGGGCTGCTATTAAGTCTACAAGCTTCTTAGGCCCAAGTTGTTATGTTGGCTTTTGCAGGGGTCAAAGAAACTATTTAATAAGTATAAATTTTAGGAATTACATAATTTGGCTTAAGTCATATACAATTTCTTAAAGTTATTCGCATATTTCATTTAACATCTTGATCTATTTTTATTTCTATTGAACACCTTATTTGTTGAAAAGTTATTTCTATTTGACACAAAATGTTGACATGGCAAAAACGTCGTTTCACTCTCTTTTAAGCACGTAGAACTGCTGAAAATATTTTTTTTTCCTCTAACTTATATACCTAAATTAATAAAAAAGAATTTTATTTTTTAAAAAAAAAAAAAGAGTGAAACAGACATAGAACTTTCTTCTTCTTTATCTTAAGTTGTAACACTTTTCCGGCTCCACCAATTCCCGGCGACTTCGCCGCCGTCGCCCCTATTGCCATCCACTTTCTCTTCTGTCTCTTTTCTTTAACCACCCCTCCCTCCCCCGTAGCACTATCATTTTCTAGCGAAATTTTATTTTTTCCAACGAGGTTTGATCTCAACATATACTTATGTCAATATAATCCAATAATAAAGAATCACATCAATTAATTAAAATTGTTAGTTAAAAATAAATGAAGAGTTTTTCAACTTCAAAAAACATCAGTTATGGAATACAGAAAAATATTTACGGTAACTCCATTTTTTCCGGCTATGGTGATAGAAATTCATAATTTTCCGGTGAAATCTTATTCATCTTCCTGTACCAAACTAGATGGAGAAAAAAAAATTACAGTTGAAAAATTGATTGAGGGAGGGAGTGTCTTGTGGAGTGTTGGGAATGTTACGGTTGGGGTTCACTGGAGAGGAAAAGGTGGGGTTGCCGTAGGGTGGGTGGGTGGGTTTTTTAGAAAATTCTTTTTAATATTTTTAGTTAGTTAAATAGGTTTAAATAGTGATTTTTTAGAATATCATTTTTTCAATAAATTTTTTTTTATTTAAATGCCACATGTCATATCATTTAATTCATTAATTTGTCATGTCACAGCAGCGAGTGTAGCACACACATCTCATATTTTGGCAGATTGTCAAAAAAATGTTAAATAGGTATTTAAGGGGCATAGGTGTTCAATAGGTACAAATATTAATTGAGGTGTTTAAACGAATTATGCGGACAACTTTAAGGGACTACAGATGACTTAAGTCTAGTTTTAATATGAAATTACAATCTATCCCTATTTAGTTTGTAATTACATTAATCCCTGAAAAAGTAAAACAAACCAGATACATAATATGTAGCTCAAATACATTAAAACTAGCTCGAATACATTATAAAATAAACTGGATACATAATATGTAGCTCAAATACATTAAAAATTAGCTCGGATACATTATAAAATAATTTAGAATTAGGAGAGAAATAAGGGATTTTAGAATGTTTTAGAAATAGAAGGGAACATTAGAAATAAAGGAAACATAAGACGTGTATTTCAGTAATTTTTCTATTTAATTACACTAGGGAGACTTTCACATGTAGCCACTCAAAATAGCTTAATTACGCTCTATAGTTATAATTTGTTAATTATGATTCGTAGCTACATATTATAGAAAAGAGAGTGGCGAGCGAGATTGGGAGAGGGATAGAGGCGAGCGAGAGGGACAAAGAGTGGAGAAAGGAGAATTGTATATGTATATTTATCGAATTGTATATGTATATATGTCAAATAAATGTATATATGTAACTAATATACATATGTATTTGTATATCTGATGAGGGAGATTGGGAGATGGAGGAGAGATGCGAGATAGATTGGGAATGGGAGGAGAGAGGGCATAGAGTGGAGAGGGGCAAACTGTATATGTATATCTGTCAGATAATTGTGTGTGTATACATATATATACACTAATTTTTTGCTAGTGTAATTGAAACAACACCATTGTTTGTCATATTTGATTTAAAAAAATTCTCATTTTCTTGATGTTATAGAATTATAAGTTTGAAATGAGAAAAAAAGGGCTAGCCCGCCCAAGCCCTCGGCCCTTCTAGAGTTGGGTTGGATTGAGTATTTTCAAGCCCTACCAAATGAAGGACCTGCCCTCCCTAACCCTTCAAATTCCTTGGCCCACGCTTGGACCGTGTGGGACTGAGCGGGCCCTTTTTGACAGCTCTAGATGTAGGCATGTAGCCTCCTTTCTTCAATCGTTGTTTCCTTCGTCTTCTATATAGATGTTTTTAATATTTATTTTTCAAAGATTAAAAAATAAATTTAAAATCTCAACTTATTTTTCAACAAAAACCTTTCTCAAAAGAAAAAATAATCCTCGTTCATATCAAATACTCCCGCACTCCGTCTTAATTTATGTGATATATTTCAGATATCGAGATTCAAACAAGTCTATCTTTGATAGTAAATTATTCATTTTATCTTTTAAATATTTTAAATTGTCAATTGTTGTAACTTATAATAATTTTTACGTAATTTATAAATATATAAAATTTATTTAAGAAATTTATTTAAATTATTTGACTCTCAAAATATGAGAACGGAGAGAACATAGAGTACACCTTAGATTGAAAATATTTTCTATATATATATATATATATAACCGCTTTCCATATTCTCATTTCAAATCAAAACACTCCTCCCTAGAGTGTGCGGACTCCATTTCTACAATGATTTCTTCCTCTTTCCATCAATCTCCACTGCCGACGCCGGCCAATACGTTTACCTCCGGCGTCAACTCTATGCTATCACCGTCGTGTGTCAGATTCCGGCAATCTGGTTCATTCTCCGTTGCTGCGACCAGCTACACTTCTGTGGCCACCTGCGTCCCAGTTTCTGCTTCTCCTGCTTCGTTTTACAAAATTCTCGGAATTCCGATCGGCGCAACGATCGAGGAGATCAAGGCTGCTTACCGGAGATTAGTTAGAGTTTACCATCCTGATGTGGCTGCAATTGATCAGAAGGACTCCTATACGGATGAGTTCATGAAGATTCGTGCTGCTTACTGCACTCTCTCAGATCCCAATAAACGCGCCCAATATGACCGATCACTTTACCCAAGGCGCTGGACCGGTAATTTGTATTCTGCTGCCTATACTTGCCGGAACTGGGAGACAGATCAGTGCTGGTAGAAATTCCGGTTCGTTTCTCTTTGTTATAAATCTCGTGAGGAACTGAAGGAAAAAAAAAGGATTTAAAGAGAAAAAGTTGGAAAACGAAAATGGCTTTGATTTTCAGTTTTTATTTGGATTTGTTACGTATATTCTGAGTATTTGATTGAATCCTCAGAATTACAGTCAAAAAAGGATTCAGTTTTTGGAACGGTATAAGAATAATACTGAAGGTTTATAAGTAATGCACACGTTAATAATATTGATATTAATTATGTTTGTATTAGTTATCCTGCAACTATAATGCATCTTTGTCAAATCAATTCCTTAATTAGTATTCCTTTCGTCTTCTTTTATATGTCATATTTTTACTTTGCACTTGCATTAAGAAATGATGTAACTTTACCTTTTACCCTTATTTAATTTTTTTGGAATTCAAGTTTTCAATCAATGAATATGAATGAATTTATTTTGATTAATTAATTTAATCAATGAACATGAATCATTTACTTGGTTTTTTTAAATTGGTCAAACATATATTTTCAAGGCTAATAACTCACAAGGATAAAAAAGGAAGAATAAGATAATTTATGCATTGATTTTATGAAATGACAAATATTATGGACTAACTATTTATAAAAAAGGATGACATATAAAATGGGATGGAGGAAGTAGTCAAAAGATAAAATAGTACATATTATCCGTATTAGTTATTGTTTCTTAATTGATGTGCTAAGTTAACAATGAATAACTATTTTAGACAAAGAGAATATTAAATTTCTTTGTAACAGATTACACTTACACAGTCACAGCGTCTAATTAACTACTTTATCACACGCTTTAAAGGTGCAAAATTTAAGGAAAGTTAATTTTTTTTTAATGAACACTAGTAGTGGCAAGGGCTGTATGCTTGCTTATTTGTAGTTTGTATTCACTCGGCGTCGTTTAATTGGAAATAAATTATCTCAAAATTAGTTACACCATGTATATATAGAATAATTTATTTCATTTCTATGATATAAATGGTGAGATAAATAATTCAAGAACTACTTAATACCTTTAACTACACACACAGAATAAAATAGTCATATATTTTGTTCATGATATTATTATACATTATAATTTATACCTCACACAAAACGGTTCCTTACTTATCCACTATTTTTTTTATAGGTGTATTCAATCCAAATAAGATAATTAAAAGTAAACGAAAGGAATATCTAAGATATGGAAAATTTCTTTAGCTCTTTTTATATTCATAAATAAATATGTTTCACTCGTGAAATTTTATTAAATATATTATTATTATTATTATAAAACAAATAAATATAAGATTGTATGATTTCTTAAATTATTTTTATTTAAATATTATGCGTACCTTTTAATATCAATTAAAGTTATAAGTAATTGAAAATAAACTTTAGTCTTGAATTCATAAGTAACAAAAATATTTATTTTGGGGATAATGTGTCTATTTTATCTATTTCATTTTACTTGATTTATATATTAAAAATAATTTTATTTATTTATTTATCTATATTTTAATAAATTTAAAAAATATTTATTATTTTATTTCAATATTACCATTATCAACTACTAATAACTATGTAAAGTAATAGTCAAATAGATTTATTAAAAAATTTAAAATAAATCTCTAGTAATTAATAATTTCTTAAACGAAATGCCAAGCGAACAAAAACAAGCTAAGTAAAATGGTACAGAAGAAATTTTATCAAACTCTCGGAGCCAGATAGCAATGTTTATGA